TAATGATCTGCGCCACGGCCCCAACGTGAGCGACGTAGCATGTCACTTCCTGTGGCGTGCTGGTGGCGCGCGCACACACACGTCCTGGGAGAGCTCCCGGAGCCCGGCAAGGCTCCCCCACTGGCATGGGTAAGTACACTTGGCAACCCTATGCTATATACTAATAGTCAAGAGTGGCCCAATCTGTAGATAATAAATCTATGGATTCGGGCCACACTGCCACAAAACTAATGGTTCTACAAATTTGGGTGACCCTTCCAGGTTTGCAGAAGTTTTTAAAAAAACTAAAAAAAAAAAGTAGGGGGTTACAAAAAGAACAAAAATAGAGAGAACAGTGGATTGCACAAGTGCAGAGAACTGTTCTCAGCAGGCAGGCAAGGAGGAGGCATCAGGAGAGGAAGAGAGATCGGAGGACACTTACAAATGAGGAAGACATAGGCATTCGGGTGAATCATTGCTGCAGGTCCAAGTTATTTACACTTACAAGGTAGAGAAAGTTCAAGCTAAAAGGCTCATTGTGCCAGCTGGGGAAAAAAGTATGCTGAGTCACTGCCCTTTGAGTAGGAAGTCTCACCCTTCTTCTTTGTCATCTCTTTGCAGCGTATCGTCCAGGCCTACAAGAATGGACTTATCCTTAAAGGAAATGCAAGTCTGGGAAGATGGGACTTTGTTGGCTCCTTCTTCTTCTCTGTTTCTGCAGTAACTACCATCGGTAGGAATTCTTTTGTGCATCTTCTGAGAAAGCTCTATAAAGGAATCCTGGAAGCATAACCCTTCTACCTCCTTTTTGCATCTTTAAGCAGGTGTCTGGAGAAATAGGTTTTCCTTCCTCCACTAGTTTGTTTTACATTACTGTTAAGACGTCAAGCTAATTTGCTTGATAGCCAGAGAGTGACATTATCTCTACCCAGTTAGGTATTTCAGAATCGCAGGACAAAGTAGGTTTGATCTTTTTGTGGTAAGTACTTGTTCCATGCACCTTGGCATTTAGTCATGCCGGCCACATGACCATGAAAACATCTTTGGACAGCACTGGCTCTTCGGCTTGGAAATGGAGATGAGCACCGCAACCCTAAAGTCGGATTTGACTGGCTTTCGAGCAAGGGAAGCCTTTACCTTTACTTACTTGTTTCTCCAGTGAGTGTAGGGCAGATTCTGGAGCAGTAAATCTTCACTGTAATAAATAATTATCGTGTGCCCAGCATTTGTAGTTTTCAGGCACACTGAAGGGACTGTTGGTTTTCCAGCTTCGTTTGTAGCTTGGTGCAGGATTTTTAATACATTAAAGTTAAAAGCATGTATCCCTGTTATTTTTTTAATGCAGTTGTATTTTCACAATTAGTGGTGAATGCAGAAGCTAGCTGGTAGCTGATGTTTATGGAATAAGCTGATAGAGCAATTTTTTAATTCTCCCAGCAGATAGCTGATCCACTCTAAAATACATTGAGATTCCTCCCTAGAATAAAGGATCTGTCTTCTGCTTCAGCTGGTATTTGTGTTTTCTCTTGTTGGGTGTTACTTCTCCTGTGGTACATTTTCCCAAACCAGTGAGCAGGCATCTTTGTTGCAACTGTGGGTAACCCACAATCTCTCTCCTTTCATTAGTCTTCAGAGATGGAATTGTATCATGTTTGTAATGCTACTGGGATTTCCCCATGTTTGTCAGCAGTATCATGGTCTACATTAGGAGATTCGAATATATTCTCATGTCATCCTTTGGGATTATATGGCTTCCATATATTGGAAGAGAGAGGGGGAATCACTATTCTTACACTTGTGCCTCACTTTGATTAGGATATAGGCGTATACATACAACCTAGGAATAGGTGATTGGATTCCTTCAGGAACCAGCATAGTTTGATGTTCAGTTGGCTGGAATAAGGGAATAGGGCCTTTTGAAATGGGGTCAGGGTTATGACTCAAGGAAAGGCAGTAAACTCAGGCAACAAATTTGGGAGATGACAGCTGCTACCATCATTTTACTTCACCCTTCTACCATAGCTTGTTGCCTCCTGCCTCAGAGGTGAAGCAGTGAATGCTCCTTTCTTCCCCTAGCCATCTTCAAGCACATTGTGGCAAACTGAACATGTCCCATAGGACTTTCCAAACTCTTGCAATCATTTAATACCTCCTGTTGAGATTCTACTGACTGTAATGCCCATGTTATGGTATTCTCCCTCTAGGAAAACTTTATAGAACTTACTCCTTTAGAACTATTCCATAAATAACATGGTTGCCTGATACTAGATTGTGGACAGAAGGCATGGGCAGAAAGCTGTGTATGTCTCTAGACAACCTTTCGATAAAATCTCTAAAAGCAACAAATAGTGTGAGGGGCCTGTGATAAAGTCTGTTGCCCAATGGCCTATAAGCTCCAGCATCATCCAAAAGGCATTATAATGCCTGGAGTCCTGGTTGATCACTCTATAGCTTCATAGTCTTTTTGACCCTATGAGCAGAAGAATCTTTCCTTGCAAAATATGAAAAGTTATACATTTGTTTAAGTCACTTATACTCCACATCTTTAAAATCCACCCACTATAGGGTTTAGTATTCAGCAATGACGATGCTGCTTTCTCACTGGTGGCACAAGACACAATTCCATCACAAGAAAATGGATCCAACTATCTCTGTTTATAGCAAATGCTAATAATAAAGGGATGGCGCTCAGTTATACATTTTTCCTGTGGCATTTCTTGTTCTTTTTGAACTTGTACATTAAGAGCCTTAATGTGGTCTGCACACTCACTCATTGTCTGAAAGTGGTGACACATTTTCAAATTTACATCACACGATGTAGCTCTCTTTGATTTCTTCAGTCTCTGGGTGTACCCATATACCACTCAAACTAGATATTGCTATTGTTCAGTTTCCTAGTACAAGCACTCAGTCAGGCTATAGAAAGTTTTATATAGGCTTTAAGAGAAATATCCCCTCGTAGTTATTTTTCATATGCTGTTGAGTTTCACTCTTACATTTTGAATATGGCAATTTGGAGCACCAGTGTTCTGCCATGCCTGGCCCTGCTCTAGATGCACATAGCGCTGCTGATTGGGAAGTCTGGGTTGTTGGGGGAGGGGTTTTGGAGCAGAAGGGGATGTTCACAGGTGAGCAGAGCTAAACCTTGTCTTTACACCCTGCTTATTTCCTCAGAGCCTCTTCATCTACCTGCCCAGGCACTTTCCTTGCAGCCAGATCACTAGTGAATCAGAACACAGCAGGGAGAAAAATAGGGATGTTGCCAAATTTCACCAACCTACTATTTCAATTTGAAAATCTCTCTTTCTAACATGGGCTGTCCCTACTTGAGAGAAAACTGCAGTCATATTTCCCCCCCCCATACTAACAAAAAAATTATAGTATTGTTATCTCTAAAGCTGACATCTGTCATGTGTCTGTTGCATATAAATGATATAAATAATTGGGAGCTTATCTCAGCAAAGCAGAACAATAGCAAGAACAAAAAGATATGCATCGATGACATATGAAAACAGGCAGAAAGACATAAGGGTGTTTGCATTGATCCCTGGAAGAAAGTGGTATTCAAAGAAAGTCCGTGAGGAAAAAAATGGGGGGGGGGGCAGTAGCACCCCAGATTCCTTTTGCTCTAATAATTGAAGCCCCCCCCATTTTATACATCTGGCATAGGCCTAGATTTAAACAAATGGGGTTGAGACTGCTAAATACTGTCTGACCCAGAGTTGCTTCTCTTAGTTATGTTTTACAGTGTGAAAATAACTCCTATGTGCATGTGCCTGTTGGCCTGCAAGCCAACGTACACATCTAAAAGCAACTTATACTTCTAGATGCACCCAAACAGTGCAACAATTCTTGCAGTGACATATCCACATAACAAGCTCAGACCTATAGGTGTAAAAGAAGTAACATCCCTCTCTGTCTTTTTACAAGGCCCCAGTTGAACCACAAGATGGCAGTATAACATCATTCTATGTCTGGCTTTTCACTGACATTTGTATCACCCACACTAAACTGTGTTGATTTAAAAACCAGGAGGGAAATGACAAAAAGATAAGCATTTGCATGTAGATTGAGTTGAAACAGAGCAGCATATTTGGAGCACTGATGCAATCCAGAATCTAGTGGTCTTGGACACCTAAACGGAACCATAAAAGATACCCTTTTTCTTCTTACACATAGAACTACCAACAGTTGTCCCTTTCCTTTATAACGCAGCCTCCCAAAACTGTGATGTTAATTGCTGCACAGTTGTGCTTCCTGAGAGCATTTATCCAGAAGTCAGTCGTTTCGTAGAAAAAAAGCTAGGGGAACTCATTAGCATAACTCATTCGCATATGCCACACCCCCTGACATCACCGGAAGTGTGTCATAAGGCCACACCCCCTGACATCACCAGAAGTGTGTCATAAGGCCACACACCCCGCCCCCAACGGTCCCGGCCCATGAGGGGCCCGGCGGTGGACCTGCAAGGCCGGCGGGAGTGCGAGGAAGCCCTGCAAAGGCCCTCCCTTATGAGAGACATCCAAGGACTACCAGGGTCACTGTGCAGTGGCAAGCAATGGCAAATGACCGCTGAACATCCCTTGCCTTGAAAACCCTACGGGAGTCACCATAAGTTAGCTGTGACTAAAAGTCCATTGAAGTCAATGGTTTTAGGATGATATAACTGCACTTAGAATGGCATTTATAGAATCCTGCTTATACACTGTCATGTGCTGCATGTAACAACCAGCACTTTAAAAGCTGCAGGAGAAATCATTTGGAAAGTAAGCACCATTTTTCTACAATGAGAAATTTTTAGAAGATGGCATCCTGAGGGCCAAATGCACAGGAGAAGAGTATGTTCCCAATGTTCTTCTATTTCACAGCTCCGACCCTGATACAGCTCTGGGTTACCATACTGGGGAGTGGAGGGTTGAATTGCAGACCTCAACATCTAGCTGCAACAAAAATTAAATCTACCCACTACTTGTTATTGAACATCATCTTGGAGAAACTGAGTCTGTTACTGGATGAAGGGCTCAACTCTTCTGTCTTGGGACAACAGGGTTGTTGAAATATGCTCAGCTCTGGATCCAAAAGGAGTTCCCCAGCCAGAATACCTTCTCTCCAAAGTCAATTTTAATCATTTTATATGTTGTAATCATGTTTTACTTTGGGGCTAGAATCTTCTTGATAGCATCAATCGTATTACCTGGCAATGTCTTTTTAAACTGACATGTTTCTATATAATGAAATATTATATGCTAATCTTTGATTATTCGCAAGTGGCAGGAAAACATAACTGCATACTCTCAGACTGCATATTCTCCAAGCACAGTTCTGCCCTTACAGGAAGCTTTCTGAGATGAAGGAAGCACTTCCCATCTCAAGCAGAGCAGTGGCAGTTGGCTTAAATAAGAAACCCTCTGCAGGTCCTGCTGCTTGAGTAGCTACTTCTGTTTCATGCAAAGAGGCTGCAACAGTTGCCCTAGTGCTGTGTCTATAGAACAAACTGTTCCAGGTCAGCCAAGAAGATCTATTTGTATAATAGTCAGATCAGAAACTATGGTTATAAACTGGAAGGGTGCAGTTGCGTGCTTCACCCTGACCCCACTGGTGGACCTCCTGATGGCACTGGTATTTCTGGCCACTGTGTGATACAGAGTGTTGGACTGGATGGGCCTTTGGCCTGATCCAACATTGGCATCTCTTATGTTCTTATTTATTTACAAGGAATATGAATTCAGATGCATATCCAAATGTAGGTTCCATTTGATGTGCAAGTCCGTTGCATTCCATTAAAAGCCATGCAATGTGGATAGACAGTGGCTGCATTAGGAAACCTAAAACACAGAGCTGGAAGGGATACTAAGGGTCATCTAGTCCATCCCAGTGGGATATTAAATTGAGCAGTTGAATTACACCAGCAATTCCTAAACCCAGAAATGTGGACTTCCTAAATTGGAGATACCCATACTTCATGTGGTACACCAAAATGCTCTGTTTTCAGGTCTGCTTACATTTTTCATAATTTCATTAGTGCATCCCTCTTCTCATCTTTGTGATATATGGCTTGCTGCTCAAATAAGTAATGAGGCACTTGTCTAAACCAATATTAAGTATCTGTGCATTTTCAATGCAGAGTAGAAGTAATAACTCAGTGGTGGCTGCTCTACCAGGTCACCAGGTCCTGTTGTTGATTCCAGGTTTACTGGGGAAGACCTCATTCATATTTTACAGGGCCGTGAAAGACTTCTGTAGACCATTCTGTGCTTGAGGGTACGGTAATTGATTTCCCCCCAGAAAGGGGTGACGGCTTAGTGGCAGAGCACATACTTTGCATACAAAAGGCCTTGCATCTGAGCTTAATTTGTCTGAGGAATCTAGTGCTGGGAAAGATTGCTCTATGCCTGAGAACTGCTCAGTGAGTCCCACTAGACAATAGTAATGAACTAGGTTGATGCTAATCTTTGATTATTCGCAAGTGGCAGGAAAACATAACTGCATACTCTCAGACTACATATTCTCCAAGCACAGTTCTGCCCTTACAGGAAGTTTTCTGAGATGAAGGAAGCATTTCCCATCTCAAGCAGAACAGTGGCAGTTCGCTTAAATAAGAAACCCTCGGCAGGTCCTGCTGCTTGAGTAGCTACTTCTGTTTCATGCAAAGAGGCTGCAACAGTTTCCCTAGTGCTCTGTCTATAGAACAAACTGTGAACAGCTCTGAAAGAACTTATCATAGAATCATAGAGTTGGAAGGTACCTCCCAGGTCATCTAGTCCAACCCCCTGCACAATGCAGGAAATTCACAAATATCTCCTCCTCCACACCCGCAGTGATCGCTGTTCCACACCCAGAAGATGAAAAAAAACCTCCAGGATCCCTGGGCATGTAAGAAAGGGCCACAAGAATTAAGCACTGAGGCAACCCTTACTGCTCTGCCTCTCATGATCTGCCTAAGTTCACAGAATCAGCATTGCTGTCAGATGGTCATCTAGCTTCTGTTTGAAAACCTCCAAAGAAGAAGGTCACACCAGCAGCTGCATGTGGAGGAGTGGGGAATAAAACCCAGTTTTCCCAGATTAGAGTCCGTGCTCTTAACCACTACACCAAACTGAGTGGTACAGGGACCACTGCTCAGCTGTTAGGTTTAAATAGCTGGCAGCCATTTAGCCATTTGGTTTTGCTCCCTGCCCCTTCAATCTGGGCCATTTGGTTTTGCTCCCTGCCCCTTCAAACTGGGTGATCCCTGTCCTCTTTCTCCTGGTTGTGGTGAGCCATGGGGAGGAGAAAGGGGGAAAGGAAGTCCTTTCCCAGGTGATCCCCCCTTTCTCTCGGCCATGGGAAACCACGACCAGGAGAAAGGGGGAAACCAGACTTGTCAGATCAGTTTGGTTCAGGTGGGGCTCGTTTGATTTAGGGGTTCAGTTTGGGGACCACCCCAAACTGGACCAAACTGCCTTTCTAAGGTTCATGCCAGTGCTCCCTATTGGCCAGTGCTCCGATTCAGCTCTTTCATAATGCTCTCTCGATCCACTTTCATTGCACTTTTCAATTGGATTTTACTTTGTGAAGTGGGAAAATCCACTTGCAAATGATTGTTGAAGTGGATTGAAACTGCATTATTCACTGTGTGCATGAGACATTTGGCTTGTCACCACTTGTCACTTCCACTTATATATGCAGTCCGGGCCTCCTATCCATAGTGTAGAGAGATGTAGATTGTTTTAACTTTCTGGCTAGAGATGCCTTCTGTTCTATCCTTGATCTATAAAGCTGGATTCCCAGCTAACTACTCACTACTAGGGTCTGATTCAATATCTTCAAGAGACACAGATTTCTAGAACTGCTGCTGTTGTCCATGGGTTGGGGACAAAAACTCTCATGACAGATGTGCCCCGTAAATACAAATCAGTCCTCACAAGATATTTTTACCTGATTATTTGACATGCAGCACAATTCCACCAACACATTTTGCCAAAGATGATTTCCAAATAAAACAAAATCCAGTAAAATCAGAAACAATGAAAACAGTATATAGAAAATAAAAGCAACAGCATGAAGAGGCATCTGAAAGATATAAAACAAGAACAAGAAAAATAGCATACAACAGTATGAAACAGCTTAATTTTTTTTCATGATACTCTCTGCAGCATTTTGTCACTAGAACCGCTAATCTGTGCTTGAAGATGTAGTTGAAATGTCATCAGGTTAAACTGATCTGTGCTGTGGGATCGTGTGGGTATCTCCTCCATACCATTTCTGTGCTCACTGGTGTTTCTTTTAATGCTTTTATTTTTTTTAATTATCAGTGTGTGTTTTTGTGTAACCCTTTTTTAGAACAACTATTTGAGGAGTTTGGTTTGATGTCAGAATCTATGTTTTCAGTACATGGCTTGCCACCTTCTCCCCTTGTGCTAACAAATGTACAGGCCAATATAAATGAAATTGGACCAAAGCAAACCATACTTGTAGTATAGTAGTGCAAGCCTTCAAGTGTTTAACTCCCCCCTGCAACTATGAAACTCCACAGCATCACATTCTTCCAGAGTAAATGTAATCAGAATCAATCTGCATGTTCAGAAAATGCTAATGTTACAATCCCCCAGGAGAGTCTTACCATTTCAGAATGGGGGAAGCTTTGCATGTTCGCTCTTTTACACTTCAAAGAACTCTCCGCACACATTTGGGAAATGGGGCTAATCCATGGAGCAATGTGCTTTCACAGACTATTAGGGCCAAACCAAACATGATGTGGGAGATCTGAGGCTGGATTTCCCAACATCTCTTCCTTTACTTGAAAAATGTTGCTTTATGTTATTGTGATGGCTCTTGAATGCCATGGGCACAGATCTTCTCTTTTATTTTGTAGTCTCCCTTTTTGGAAGAGGCTACTGCTTTAAAGTGCCCATGGAAGCACAGTGAGTCAACAGCAAGCATTTCCTTGAGGAAATGCAAATGGTATACTGACTTCTACCATGAATTTTTAACTTTCTGATAGTTTATAGCCAACTTCATATTGAATTAAGGAAAGCTAAGTTGTCCCCATGGAATGCAGTGCATATTTAAAACACAGCATAGGGAAGAAGCAAATGTGAACTTATCCTAAGTAAATGATTCTCCCATGATTTGGAGTGTTGTTGGCACCTGCATAGCAGATCCTTGCAGTGATGATGCTGATAATGTTTGTTTGCTTCTGAACAAGCAAGTGTTTAGCTGGGGAGGTGAGTATTTGAAACAGGACAAATAGAAGAAGAGTCAAAATGGCTGGGAAAGCAGTTTTGTTTTTCATCTTTCACAAAGGTATTGCTAACAGAAGAGTGAAGAAAATTATAAGAACTATTCTGTTTCCCTCAGCAGGACTGACTGATGTTATTGTGTGTTGCATTGGAAGGGTTTAGCTTGGTTGGAAATGTGACTGGAAGAGGATGGGATGGATGGTCAGTGTTAAGTACCCAACACTTGGGGGGGATATCGTGAGCCAGAGATCTACAGGGAACGTACATATTTTATGCTTCAACATGATTATTCAGAAGTAAGCCCTAATTTACTCGAATGTCACATGTAATTATATATGAATTGCAGGCTTAGATACCAGTCATGACTTTTGCTTGCCTGATCGTGGTTGGTGCTAAGCCCATAGCTAGCAGATATGGTATGCATTCTCTGAAGTGCAAAATCCTCCACCCTAAATTAAACAAAAATGTTTTTTTCCTTACACTTTCCTTTAATCCTGCAATCTGAGAACTGAGTATCAAAGGGGAAATTGTTTCTCAATTTTTTTATCTTCTGGTATCTGCTTTTATTATTTTTGTTTCACTTTTTCTGGTATATATCTCACAGTATGGATTAGGTTCTTAATTCAGTTGATTGTAGAGAAAATTCTCTTATCAGGAGGTCCGAGTTTACAGAGAAGTGGCTGAAGTCTTGTTGCACACCTTTAACCTCTAACCCCTTATTTGTTAAGAACTCCGCCTGCTGCAGTAAAACAAGATTGTTGGTGCACCCACCTAACTGTTGTCTCCATTCCAGGCTATGGGAACTTGAGCCCTAGCACAGTGAGTGCACAAGTTTTCTGCATCTTCTTTGCCCTCTTTGGGATCCCATTAAACCTTGTGCTCCTGAACAGAATAGGACAGCTGATGCTCTCTGGTGTTCAGCAATGTGCCTGCCACCTGGGCAACAAATTTAATTGGCAAGTAAGTGGTGCAGGTTCTGTACAGATTACTTTGGCCAGTATAATTAGTTAACATTAAGTGGATGAGAGCAGTAGCATTTTTTCTTCTTTGGCTTAATTATGCTGCAGACCATTCACTTGCCCTTATGTTTTAACTAAAGGCCACATTTGAGGCTGCCCATGTTGTCAGAGTAGTATTCAGAGTAGTTGTCAGAGTAGTATGAATACATGGGGGGGTATGATTCCCAAGCCCCCTAAATCCTGACATTCATTGGGCGATGCCTGGAGCTATCACTTTGGATACTTACATTAGTACATTAGTTCCCAAACTATTATGTATCACATGGTATCATTGTGTAGTCAAAGTCATGTGGCTTTGAAGAGAGACTATTTACCAATCTAAAAATAAAAAATAACATGAGAATTAGTTATGTGTGGAACGTAAAATGTAGCTGAGCTTTCAGTGCTAGTTCTTGTCTTCCATCGTCCATTCACATGTGCAGCAGTTATCAGAAGCGGGCATAGAAGAAGCTGTGTGTCTGCAATTTGACACACCATTGGCTTTCCGCAGAGTAGTTATTTGCTTACGATCATACTAAGAGTCTATTGTAGATTTATTAGTGTATCAGCATTACTTTCTCAAAAGATGCTGCAGGATGTAAGACTGTGGGATAAGAGGTGGTGGAACTTAAAACTGCCTGGATATGATACCTACTCTGTCATTTGGCCCTCTGTAGGAACATGCAATGGAGCTGCGGTGGCTCAAGTGGTTAAGATGCTGAACTGCAGGCTGTGGAAGGTCAGTAGTTCAGCAGTTCGAGACCCGAGTGTGCCGCATGACGGAGTGAGCTCCCGTCTCTAGTTCCAGCTCCTGCCAACCTAGCAGTTCGAAAACAAGAAATTGCAAGTAGATAAATAGGTACCACTTTGGTGGGAAGGTAACAGCGTTCTGTGCGCCTTGGTGTTTAGTCATGCCGGCCACATGACCACGGAAACGTCTTTGGACAACGCTGGCTCTTCGGCTTTGAAACTGAGATGAGCACCGCAACCCTAGAGTCGGACGCGACTGGCTTTCGAGCAAGGGAACCTTTACCTTTACCTTTAGGAACATGCTACTTTTTCTGCTGTGAAAGGCTCTGAATTTAAATCTGCCTGATCATTGCACCTCCTTGGTCCAGATGTTTTGAGGAGGGAGGGCCAGGAGTTTCACGGTGTGGTTATGCATTGATGAGTAAAAGCTACTCTGCACATGCTTAGAGGCATGCATACTTTTACACAGGCAAATTGCAGCAAGATAGTGAAACTTAGCATTCATGTTTCTGCTTCTCTCTCTTCTCACATGATCCCCCTGTCCCTGCAGCAAATTTCTCACTACAGACAGAGGAGATGACTTCAAAATATTATAAATCTCATTGTATCTTTTTAGAGCTGTGTACTTCAAATTTTTTCGTATAAATTTTGTTGCAGGTTTTTGAGGAGGGCATGCTTCTAATTATCCCAAATTTTGGGGTGGGTTGGTATTCCATTTGGGCTCCATTTTTTTAGATTCCAGAATTTTGGGGCCATTCCTGCCTCCAGGCAGCAGGAGCTGGGAGGGAGCGAGAGAGAGGAAGCCTGCCCTGTCAAGCAGCTGCTTGGCAGCACATGTGCTCTTTAAATTTTAAAGGGCCGTTGTTTTCTATGGGAAGAACTGTTCTCCAAACTTGGGAGGCTAGGTCTACCCCTACAAAGACAATGCTTCCAGAAGAACATTGGGTTAAAAGTGGTTTCAAAGAACCAGAAATCCCCTGGGGAATAACCAAAAAAACCTAAAGCAAAAACTAAAGGCAAAAGAAATGTGTGTGGAAACTGAGGAATAAACTGATGGGTAGCTGTGTTTGTCTGTCTGTAGCAGTAGAAAAGAGCAAGAGTCCAGTAGCACCTTAAAGACTAACAAAATATGTGGCAGGGTAGGAGCTTTCGTGAGTCACTGCTCACTTCTTCAGATACAGCTAGAATGAGAGTCTAGTATAGGGCTAGAACTGATAGTGCAGAAAAGCCCTAGCTGACTGTTGCATGGTTTCTGCATTTTGTTTCTTTGTCTTGCTAGAAAGGGGCTGCTGTGTTGACACGGACTTGTGCACTGGTTGCTGGGCTTCTACTGTTCCTTCTGCTGCCTCCTCTGTTATTCACTGCCATAGAAGGCTGGACCTATGAACAAGGATTCTACTATTCCTTCATTACTCTCGCCACAATAGGCTTTGGAGATTACGTAATTGGTAAGTCATTCTGCTGTCCTATGCACTGCATTTTTTTCTCATGAGAAACCTATTAGTTAATCATTTGTTTAAGTTTTTTTTCTTTTTAATTACATCTCCCCCATGTATATGTTTCTTTGTGGACAGGAAAATGACCTCTTCAAAATGTCTCCAACAGCAACAATAACTGCTCTGTCTCTTCAGGTTAAAGCTTCATTTGCTGCTTCTGTAGCAGTTCCCCTGGAATAGGCTGCTCTGTGTGAAGAGTCTTTGCATCTGAGAGTTTCTGCACTTGTTTACACAAATTAAGCATGAGGGAGAACAGTGCTTGCCTCTCCTTTACAAACAACCTCATTGCACCTAGCTGTGGTGCCCTTCAGTTCGCAGAGGGAAGCACTGAACTCTTAGGCTGAATTTCTGAAAGGAAGTATCTTTCGATCTTCCATATTAAGAAAAGAACACAGGAGCAGGCTTATGAGTACTCGGGACTATTCAAGGCACCAAGGCGCACAAACTAGGAGTATCTTCCTCCCATAAGGGCCTGGAGCAGTGTTCCCTCTAAGCTGAGTTAGTGTGAGCTAGCCCACATATTTTTAGCCTCCAGCTCACACATTTTTGTCTTAGCTCAGGCAGGATGGCTCCAGAGGAAACTAACTTATGCAGTAGCCAGATTGCTCGCTCACAACTTTAATGCCAGTAGCTCACAAAATAGAATTTTTGCTCACAAGACTCCACAGCTTAGAGGGAACATTGGCCTGGAGTGGGCTGTCTTCCAAATTTGAGTGGTCACCATTTACAAATAACGGCTGTTGTGTTGAAGGGAAAACCTGTCTTCTCATATCTGCTTATATCGATGTTATTGGGGGTGCAATGCATCCTTTTGCTAAGCACACAGGTATGCATAGCACTGCTCAGAAGTTCTTGCAGTATCCAAACTCTCTCCTCACACATACCCTGCATATCATTTTTTTTTTTAAAAAAAAGCTTCTGTGCCACTGAATCAATTGGGAAATCTCTTTTGGTTGCAGATCCCGTCATAGTTTATTTGTGCTATTCATCCGCAGCCAATAAAATAACAGTTCTGCGTGTCCCTTTCTGTTGCTCTCTACCTCGACTGGTACCTCATCCACTCTTGGGTAGTCCAGGCTTTCTAGGTTTTAAGTTTTACTTTTCTCAATCTTCAAAACATTCTAAGGCATGCTTAGTATCAGATTGGTACCTTAAAAATTCTCCTTGTGAATGGAGTGATGCTGGATTTTATTTCCTCCCCCCCCCCTTTAGGCATGAACCCTGATCGCACTTACCCTGCCTGGTACAAGAATATAGTGTCTCTCTGGATTCTGTTTGGGATGGCCTGGTTAGCCCTGATCATCAATCTTTGCATCAGCTTACTAGAAAACTCCAGTGATCTCTGCCAGTGCTGCAAGAGGAATAGCAGAGAGGTGGAGCAAGAGCTGATAGATGGCAACCAAAATACCAGTCTGGGGCCTGAGGATGAGCCGAGCTGCAATGTGAAAGCCACCAAGCCAGTGGGGCCAAATTGAATTGCATACACTGTTCGTTGTTTGTGTTTATTTTTTCCGAGTGAAGGGTTTTTATTATCTTGCTAATCCTAATAGGGCACTGTGTTTTGGCACTAGCAGAAGTGCAAGTACCTGAGACAATCCCAGCAGAGGTGACTGGACACTTAGGCTGCAGTGGAAATCAAACTGTGTTGCTTTACATATGAGATTTTTTTGTTCTTACATGAAAATGAATGGCTATGGAAGAGGAGCAAGTGCATGCCATCTTATGGGAATCCACAGAAAGGTTTATTTGCTGCAAGTTCACAAGTTGAGAAACCTCAAACTTTGCTGCCCCTCTGCCTGTTTGTGTGTGTGTGTATATGTGTGTGGCTGGCAATGTATAGAACTTTCTCCTAAGTGTGATGGGTTACCTCTGTGTAAGGGAAATGAGAAAAGGGTTCTCACTTATACATGAGTGGCTAAAATGTCCCTTTGGTTATACTGTAACCTACCAACTTTGTAAGGCCATTTGCCTAACATAGAGTTCTACAGATGCTTTAAAGAATATTCATCTTAATACAGAAGACTTTTATAATCTTGCAAAACATGTTGGGCAGTCAATGTGTAAATACCAGGATATATATCTATATATTTTCATAGACATCTATATATATATATAGATATAGATATAGATATAGATATATATGATTAATGTGTTACATTTTAATAAAACACACAGTTGACTGCACTAAGATGTGCCTTGTATTATAACATCCCATAAATAAAGTTTTGGATCCATAAAATTCCGTGACGGCTCTGTATTCAGAGATAACATGGACCATGACAGCCATGCAGTACAGCTGTAGCAATAAGCAGTCATTGCATACACCGAGTATTGATTTTGTTTCTTTCTCATGCATGCATTCCCATATAGAATATGTGTGGACAGATTGCTCAGCTTATGCAATAGTGCCTAGCTGAGGGAGCTTACATGAAGACTGTTCAGTTGCCATGATGACCACTGAGAACTGTAGTCCCAGGCATCAGTTGCCAGCAAAATGGATTTGTCTCCAGTGCCTGCTAACTGGAACTTTTGAATAAGTAGGTGCTATATCACAACATTTTTTGAGATATAAAGTGGCTTACTTTTTTCTCTTCTCCTCCATTTTATCCTCACAACAACACTGTGAAGTGTACTAGGCTGAGCGTCTATGACAGGCCCATGGTCACCTAGTGAGGTTCCATGGCTGAGTGGAGACTCAAACCTGGATCTCCCAGATACTAGTCTGAAACTTTAACTACTACACCACAGTGAGTCTCCTGCTGATTTTCACCTGTCGGCATACCCCCCCCCCCTTTCAACCTGCATCAGCACCCAACTGGGAGATAAACTTTAACTCACATGAACCTGCCCTACACTGAATCAGCCCATCAGCCCATCAAGGTCAGTATTATCTCCTCTGACTGACAGTAGCTCTCCAGGGTCTTAGGCAGAGGTCTTGCACATCACTTGCTACCCAGTCCTTATTAGAGATGTCAGTCAGTCAGTCAAAACCTTTATTGGCATAATTGAAAAAGAAAACATCAACAACATAGGAACCACAGATTTTAAATACACAAAGACAATCACCCCGCCAGAGCTTTAACCTTATACTCTCGAACCCTCACAGCAATAGAGAGAAACCTCGCCACTGTCAGGGATTGAGCCTGAGATTTTCTGCATGACAAGCAGATGGTCTGCCACTGAGCCATGGGCCCTCCCCTAACTTAACATCACGCTGCAATGGTAAGGGGTTTTGAAAACAGCTCATAGCATATGGAACTCCCCCCCCCAATGCATTAGGCTTGTCCCATAGTTTTGCTTTGATAGATCTCTTCTGATCAGCTTTCAGAGATCCCTTCAAACCAATATCACTTTGATCCTTCTGTAAATTTGTGCCCTGGCTGTGCTTTGTAGCAGGACACATTCTGAGAGATAGCCATAGCAAAAGGCGATTTATAACACAGAAAAATGTAATCACCAAGAGAATAGTTGTCTGCCAAACCATGAAAGGTTATCTGTTCAAGGGTGACTAAAGAAAACATAGCAATTTGGCTGCTATTGTACTTTTTACAGCTGACTTGGATTCTTCCACAATCAGCACTGGAAAATTACAGAAACTCCTTGAAGGTCTTGAGATGCTGTTTGAGGTTTTACTTATAGAACTGTGCAAATTTCAATTAATGTTTTTCACTGGCATTGCTGAGCTCTTACAAGTGTTTTCTAACTTTCTAACGTGTTATTCTGGCATACTTCAGACTTCATGGGAATGTATTTGTAAGTAAATATGGGTGTTTTTTAAAAAATCATCCATAAGAAAAAGGATCAAATTATTTTGGCCTAGAATGGTAGGAAAAAGTCAGATAAGCAGCTGTGATGTTCTATAGGGAAAAGGAATTGTTGATATCTGATTCATGCAGCTATTGTTTGCATAGCCAGCTGTTTCCTTTCTTACTATGCTGTATACTTGGTGAAGAAGTTGTCTGAATGGTTTATCATAGTTTTTTTTAAACCCTGTAATCTTGTATTCTTCTATACACTCCACATTTGGCAAGTTTAGTGATGGTTCACCAAATGCAGATTTGCATTTGTGAAAAAACAGAAATGGTGTCCAGCTACATGCAGCCCCATACCCAGAAAAAATTTGTTAGGGGGCCCCCAAGGGGACAGTTTAGTACAGTGGAGCTGACTACATCACAGGGTTGTTAAGGAAGTATAGAGGAGGAGAGACATGGGTAGGTAAAATTTGACAGGTAAAAACTGGGAGGGGGGAGCAGCACCTAGCGCAGTTCGGAAATAATAAAGAAAGGTCAGGATCTGTGTCTGGGAGCTGTATGCTCTCTGAAGTGCTGTACATTGGTCCAGAATCAAAGCCTACCCCCAGAAGATCCAAGATGTCTGGCAAGCATTGCTGAAGGAGCTGGGAGAGCCCCTCAGGGTTTTACAGACACAACCTGGTTCTGTTAGCTAGCTAGCAGCAGGACAGTAACTCCTTGAGCAGCCCCTTAATCATTGGTGCCAACGGACTATCCTCCTCACATTTCCTTCCTCCCCCCCCCCCCCCCCTTAGCAGGCAATCAAAGAGGACAGTAAAGACAGGAACTTTGTCTTGCACCTCTTGAAGTAGCTCAGGCATTACAATCACATGTGCAGGGCAGCCCTGAGTTTGTATAAAATACTTTACACATGCACAAACACACACACAGGCTTTACAATGCTCTGTTAGTGCAAATTTTGTTCATAGGAAGTAAGGACTCTTATCAAGACATTTCCAACTGATGCATGGTGATTTTTAAGTATCTTCCTTGGTGATTAGAGACCCAGGTAGCATACCATGTCTCAAAGGACCTATCACACCTGGGCATAAGTAGAACTAAACTGACAGCACTTTCACACTTTAAAACCTGTACTACAGCTATGTGGGGCTTCCACTTAATGAAAAAATTAGTTTGAAACCATCCTTTTTCCATGGTAAGTCTGCATGGTCTTTGTTTCAGGCACTATTTAGGTGGTACTCCTTCATTTCCAGAAAAGAGCACAGTTGTCACATTCATAGGATATGAAAACTGGCCAATTCAAACAGTAGAATATTATTTGTACTTCAGATTTCATACACAGAATCCTAGTCCAGCTCTTCAAATATTACACTATACTGGCTCATATTCTCTGATCTTTCTCCAAAGAACAGCTTACTTGAGGTTCCCAGGCAATCTTCCATCCAGGCAGCTTAACTTTTAGCTTTAACTTCATGTTCTTGAGGCCAAGTACCGCTAGCTCAGGGGTTCTTAACCTGGGGTCTGTGAATGGGCTTCAGGGTGTCTGAGAACTGGGTGCAAAAGATAATTTTTTAAACTTCAGCTCCCTTTCAATTACTTTGAAAACTGTCTTTGTGGGGAAAGTTCTCCCTTATGTCAAATTATATTAAGATATTGTTTCCACTCCTAACAAGTGTAGGCTGCATGGGATGCTAGTGTATGTGGTCAACTAATGTACAATCATCATCATTGCCATGTTATAACATCTAGAATAGCTTCATGTTTTAATGTTTTCCAGGACGTAGTCATTAATTACAATAGGTTGTATGCAAAACATTTAAGTGTTTATGTGTATTTTCTGAGGAGGGGGTCCATCAGATTCTCAAAGGGGTTCATGACCCCACCCACCCACGAAAGGCTAAGAACCTCTGCTCTAGCTCAAGATATAAGGGAATAATGACACCATTAAAAAAGACAGCATGTCAGCACAGAATGTACAAATTAGTTTTAATGCACAGGAAGACATCATGTCTTGGGATGCTTCTGTGCTTTTAATAGTTGGACACTGATTATTGCAACAATGTTCCTATGCAGTTGAGAGACTGTGCTATGAATCAGAAAGTCCATGGAGCAAGTCTTCTGCTATGAACTGTTGTCATGCAGCCACTTCAGATGGCATTACTAAAGTCTCTTAAATATGACTGCCTTGCTGAACTATGAAAAGAGTGTGTCAGGGCGATGGACAGGACTTTAGCCCATAAATAGTGCCCTTATACTGGACTAAAGGAATGTGCTTTTGCCAAGGGGAGCCTTGTGCCTAAGCACCATGCCAAGCCAGACGTGGACTCCTGGACTACAAGAAGCCTCCTGCTCCGGCATCTCCACAGCCATGTCAGCAACAGAATGCAGACCAGCAGCCCTGTCCTCCATACACACAGAAACAGCAGCAGATCACAGAGGGAAGCCATGCTCTGCAAAAAGGACACCATGAGAAATCCTCTTCTCCATCACGTAGGTATTTCCACCGCCCACCCTCACATATTAACATCACCAGAAGAAACACACGTTCTTCTCCAACCTAAAACAAAAGGATGTGCCGGATGACGACAATAGTGAGCCATCAAGTCTTCCTGACACCCATCAAGATAACGCAGCTGTCAAACATCTGGCTGTTAGTCCAAAGTTCCAGTCCTGCAACCTGATTGGTTCTCTTACTTCATTCCTTTGTCCATCCCCTTCTCCTAAGAGGTATCACTCCTAGCTAAGCCATTACCTGCAATTGCCCAGCCATTAATCCCTTTTCTGCTCCATTCATAGTTTTAAGTTTTCTTAATATCTCCTGGGGACCAGGTTACCAAGCAGCCCTGCCTCAGATCACATTTTGGGGTATAAAAGAAGAGCTTTGCGTCCTTGCTCTCTCTTGCTTTTGCCTCTCCTAACCCCACCTTATCTTGCTGGTTCCATTCCTAGTGCTGTTTAGAACTTCCCATGTGCGTTGCTGGTCAACCCATGACCCCTTCCCCTTATTTTATCCCTTTTTTGCTGCAGAATCAACTCGTCTCGCTGGACAGGTACAGTATCACCCCACCAACGATACTACCTGCTAATGCAAATGTCTCTGTACTTTTCTTTCTGAATTCTTAGTTCTGTATTGAGTGTGTGTATGCTTGATTTTATATTTGTACTAGGAATAAGGCTTATTGTGGAAATAAATACAAAGAGCTCTAGAAAGAGGCTCTGGGAGAGTGCCCAATGTGTCAGCATCAATGTGCTGTGGCAACCTCAGCAGGATATAATGACACAGAGTCCACCATTTTCTCCAGAGGAACTGATCTCTGCTACCTGAAGAGCAGTTGTAATTTTCAGTGATCTCCAGCCATCACCTGGAGATTGGAAA